ATGTAAAATTCAAGTTGTTTTTGCCTTTTTTCTTAAATAACATGCTATTGCTGATGTTCTTGTTACTGTATTGTTATCGTTTTATTTAAGAGCCTGTTAAATTTATATTATTTTATTTGTACATATATATATATATATATATATATATATATATATATATATATATATATATATATATATATATATATATATATATATATATATATTTATACTATGTAAAATTATATATCAAATATATATGACATATAAAATGTCAAATATATTTTGTGTCAAATTTATAATAAATATTTGCAGGTTGTCACGTTTTTGTCAGTTAAATAACTGTTTTTGCATCCATCTTTGACTTTAACCATGCCTAATTATTGTTATATAATTGGGAGGAAAATGATGCTTGCATGCATTGTTACTATAAGTATATTATCACGTGGTATTACGAAAATCCATCGAGCACGTTCTTCTTTATCAGTTGGTAACTGAGACATCTTTTCTTTATTTTCTTTATTATAGTTGCAATTGCAACTCATTATACAACATTTCTTTGACATTTTATAAATTTAATAATAACTTTGAATATAAATAACACGTTCAGAACAAAAGATAATTTTTATCTTGTCCAATACACTGTTAGTATTTAGATTTCCTTAGAAAAAAAGTTTCTATCACTCTAACCAGGGCCGGAATAAAATCAATTGTGTGGCCCTGGGGCACTGAAATTTAGGAGCCCTAGAGAAAGATTTTCAAGCAAGCATAGCGAACGTTTAGTACCGTTTACCGGTACTAAAATGTAATGAGTTAAAATCTAAACTAACTCCGCATAAGGTTTGACCATCATATAAATTGGGGGTAATGCTAAAGCAATGTATGGACAAATAAAAATAATCAATAGACATGAAGCATATAATGATATAAACATGTATTTTGTTCAATTTTGTAAAAATTTGTAAGATTATAAAGAAATGTAAGCCTCTCTAGCTTTTTGCAAAACAAATGTTTTCACAATATCTGAAATTATTCTACCGTAGTAAATCGGATTCTATGCTCATTAGTGTCAAATAAGAAAGTCGATTTTGGCTCATATTGGTCCTTAGTCTGTTTTTGATAAGTTTCAATTTGGAAAAAGATTGTTCTCCCGAACAATTAGAGACCATTAGGACCAAGTACATCCTTAAAAGGATTTCTAAATTTCGAAAACTTGAGATGAAGCTATTCACATTTTGGGCACATTTGCATTAGCATCATAGTCATCCATATAATGCTTTAGAAAGGCTGAAAATTGAACAAGCTCATTTCCGAGACTTTCTCCAAGGTCTGGCTTGTACTTATTAACCAAATTGTTTGCAGACATCATTATTTCGTTTGGTTTCATTTCATCAAGGCGATTCAGAAAGCCAAAACACTCCCATACATTCTTGTAATAATTTATACTGTCTGTAAGTGAGACATTAAATTGGTCAACCACTGCGATAAAACTTGTTGTGCGAAACTGATCACTTGGGGATTGCTGAACTTCATCTCCAGTTTCATAACTCAATGGATTGAGGCAAACATTTCTATTCCGCTGACGACTTTCAGCTTGGGAATAGTCAGTTGAACCAGATAATTTCTTTGCATGTTCTTCATATTGAGCAAAACATTCTCGTTTTGACTCAACGAATGCTTTCAGTGAAGTAAGTAACATCTACTGCAGTCTGCAATATCATTTCAGGACTCTGGAGTATCTTGTTTGTGGCATTGAATCGCTCCAACATCTCATTCCAAAACAATGAATATAGCGCAATTTTGACACATTTGTTTGTGAAGACCAGCAGCAGCATTGCGAACAACATCCTTTTCCTCCTTATTAAATAATTTTTTTTTTCAAAACCACCTTAAACTTGCCATATCCAACAACAAGTGCCTTAACTGCATAATGTCTGCATGACCAATGAGTATCACTCAACCCTTTAGGAGTCAGCAGTTTTTTCTTGTTTGTCTTTTCTTGAGAGCTAGACAGTACTTCTGTTAGGATTTGGTAACGTGAAGGTGATGCTGTTAAAAAAACATGCACTTCTTGAACAAAGTCAAAGAGTTTCACAGCTGCAGAACATGTATTTGCTGCTGCCTTAACAACTAAATTACCAACTAAAAGCGAATGTGCACAAAATGGGACATAAATGCATAGGTCATTTTTTTCCTTTATCAAAACTTGCATTCCGCAATATTTACCACTCATGTTGGCAGCATTGTCATATGATTGACCTCGACAGTCATGTAAACTAATTCCATTGGATTCCAGATATTTTCAATAATGCCTCTGTCATTTCACGACCAGTGTGACTTGTATTAGGGATAAAAGTTAAGATTCTCTCATTCCATATTAATTTTTCCAAATCCATGTAACGAATTATAATAGTTAACTGATCAATATGAGCCTCATCTGGTGTAGAATCGACAGATACCGAGAAATACTTTTATTTTTTGATAGAACAGAAAATGTACTTTAAAACTTGTGAGCCCATCAAATTTATAATTTCTTCACAAATAGTGGAAGACAGACAACTGGTATGGCCTCTTCTTTTATTCGCATGCATCTTAATGTGAGCAGCAAGAAATGTGTCATATTCACTCAGCAGTTCTAAAATTCCTAGATAATTCCCATTGTGTTGTGATCCAACAATTTCATTATCACCTTGAAAAGCTAACCCTCGTTCTGCAATGAACTTTATAGTACTTACTACACGTTGCAGTATTTGATTCCAGTACACACATATTTCAGATTCCTGCCTTGCTAGCTCATCGTAAATTCCTCTAGACTTTTTTCCACGCTGTGCCAAAGTTATAGTTGCTTCCAGATGGCCTTTAGACGATTCATGTTCACTGACACGCACTGAGGCATGTTTCCAATAGCAAAAACTAGAACTTGAAAAATGAGTAGTGATGCTTTTGGACCCAATTACAATTTGCAAATAAAGCAGTATACTTTTCCTGTGTGTGAAGAAAAGCGCAACCAATTACGTTGACATGTTTCACTATTTGTTGTTTTTCGTAGGAACAAATTTGGGGTACATTTCCAAAAAAAGGTTGAGCCATCAGGTTTTTCTTGTTTCTGTGATATTGAATATTTCTTTAGGGTATCTTGATCACATTTTTGCAACAACGAGGTAGGTCCCGTCTCTGCCCAAAATGTTATCATATCCGTTGAAGCTAATTCTGGCCACAAACCAATATCATTCCCAAATCCAAGCATAGAGGCATGTTCATGTTCAATTGTTACAGCTTTTGCCATCGTAGCTACTGTTGCTTCCAGTTGCTCATCTGTTTCTGCTATTGTTTGATTGTCACTAATGTCTTGCGATAGAAACTCCTCAACTGGTGGTAGTATAGCCAAAGTTCCAGTAGTGACTTTGAAGAATCTAAATCTCCATCTCGTTTACTAAAAAAGACACTAATTTTTCTTGACTTTGCAAAAACTTCCTGTGCTTTTTTCTCTTTTTCTTGAGTTGACTTACGCTTTGAAGATCCACTTTCATAGTTGCAAAAAGATTTATGTCTGTCAGACATTATTTTTCTAAAAAAAAAAAAAAATTTAGTGTTAAATGTTACTGCTATAACTTTATATGTAAATTATATATATATATATATATATATATATATATATATATATATATATATATATATATATATATATATATATATATATATATATATATATATATATATATATATATATATATATAATTATATATATAATTATATATATATATATATATATATATATATATATATATATATATATATATATATATATATATATATATATATATATATATATATATATATATATATAAGTTTCTCCTAAAAAACTATAAAAATAAGTGAGCTCAAATAGTAACATTAACTCCCCTTTGAAAAAAATATATTATTTTTTAAAAAAGCTTAAGTAATCATTTCTAAAGAATTCTTTTTACAATAGTGTCAGCAAATTACACAAATATGTGAAAAATTGCAGTAGTTAAGACATGTGTAATTTATTTTTTGGTATAAATTGAAGTTTTATTAATTTGATCATTCATTTCTGATGAGTCTTTATTGATGAAACACAGTGTTAAATAAGAAAAAACTTTGCTAAGTGATTTTCTACTAATTTGTAATTGCTCTGTTCTTTTAAGAACATTGAGCACTCTTTTTGTAGAATACATTTTAAATTGTTTAAATATATATATATATATATATATATATATATATATATATATATATATATATATATATATATATATATATATATATATATATATATATATGTATATATATATATATATATATATATATATATATATATATATATATATATACATATATATATATATATATATATATATATATATATATATATATATATATATATATATATATATACATATATATATATATATATATACATATATATATATATATATATATATATATATATATATATATATATATATATATATATATATATATATATATATATATATATGTATATATATACATATATATATATATATACATATATATATATATACATATATATATATATATATATATATATATATATATATATATATATATATATATATATATATATATATATATATATACTAGGGATATGACAATTTCATAACCCTATATGCCCTTTCTGACTCTATCCCCTAACCCTATATGACTTTCAAAGCCGAAGTCTTTTTTTGAGACTCTGTATCACTGTTTAAAATGTTGATGATCAGCTAATGCTAAAGCTGTTCCTAATGTATATTTTAAAATAAATGCTATCCAACAGAAGTTTGACCCAAATCTTGAACTTTTTATATGGATAATAACTTATAAAAGCTATTAAATGCGTACTAATTTACTAGTTTCTTTGAGCCACAGTACACATTTCACTATATTCAAAGATTAGATCTTTTTTGACCTTATATAACTTAAAAAGTAAACAAAAATTTTTGATATAATAAGTTTAACATTCGATATAAAGAAAACCATTTACATTTAAAAAAAGATTTTTCAAAAAGTTAAACCCATTTTTTCTAAATTGACACAAATTTCAACTTAAACCACTGTTTTTAATAAAATAGATTAACATTTGATACAAACAAAACCATTTACATTGAAACAAATAGACTTTGCGAATGTTTGTTGTTATTTAGCAGCCGTGGCGCAGTGGTTAGAGTTCTGGCTCAGAACCCAGAGATTTCGAGGTTTGACGCCATCTCCAACCCAACAAGCGACATTGGTACGAAAGGAGCCGTGAACTTCCCGTTAAATCCCACGGTGCTCTATGATAAGACCGTAAGAACTTCTGGGAGCACCTAAATACATACAAAAAAAAAAAAAAACCTATTTGCTACCAATTTTTATTTTTTTTCATACAAACCGCGCGATACGAATTTGGCTAATATACCTAATATATATAAATTAAATATGAGCAATCTCTAATATATATATATATATATATATATATATATATATATATATATATATATATATATATATATATATATATATATATATATATATATATATATATATATATATATATATATATATATATATATATATATATATATATATATATATATATATATATATATATATATATATATATATATATATATATATATATAATATATATATATATATATATATACTTAATGAATATATCCCGGTGGGAAGTCGGCTAGCGAATAGCTAGCTATAATCGTTACGATAAAGATAGCGATTTGGCCACGAGGATCGCTAGCTTTTTTAAGTTAGCGAAAAGCTATCGATTTTTGTAAAGATAAAGACAGCGATTTGGCTACGAGGACAGCTAGCTTAACAAGCTGAAGATCCACTGGCTATTGTACCTAGCCTCATATCGTAATAAAACCGTTGTCTAAAAATTTTTGATATGTAGCTATCAACCAGGTATAGATTTGTAGATATTTTGTAGCTAGCTACAAAGCTACGATATGTAGCTAGCGACATATTGCTACAAAATCGCAATGTTTAAAGTTCAATCATTTTCATAGTTATAATAGACTCAACACTAAAAATCGAATTTTTAAAGATGTTAAAGACATTTGCAAAAAATAAAATAAGAAAAAAAAAATCGCTAGAAAATCGCTATAGAGCTAGCTAGTCGCTAGCTAGTCGCTAGCTCATTTTCCACCGGGATGTATCTATGCATATATATGCAAAGATACATATATTCATTAAGTTGAGAGGGGGGGGGGATTTAAAAATACGCATGGAAATAGGGGGAGGGGGTCAAATTCTTAATATTTTTGGCATACATTTCAAGTTTTCTCTTCAAAACCTATAAATATACGCTGAAAAATAACGGCTTTTAAATTATCTGATTTGTAAAATAAAACTCACATTATTTCGTACTGGCTAATTATAAATTAGAGTTAGTTATAAGTTATAAATCAATAATGTTTGATTTAAACTTTTTTTTTAATATTATCGTTAAACTGATATAAGTTTATTTTTTTCACAACTTTATGCTTGCACAAAGTTTGTTTGCTAAAATAAAATTATCTTTTAACATTTTTTAACCTTTGTTCTAATTACACAGTTGCTATGACTGCACTTTATTTTTAGTTAATGCGGTCATATTTTGAAAACAAGATTAATCTGCATTAAATGTAATCTAAATAAAAAACAGATTAAAAGAATAAAATCAATTGTTTTATTTTATTTAACTGTCTCATCTAAGTTTTATATATTTTTGACAACCTTGATCAGCAAGATAAATTCGCAGACATTCTATATTATTGACAAGCATGTTATGCACGATATACTTGATGGCAATTAATCGATATTTTTGATTCAATTAATTGAATCAATATTATATAAAGATAAATGTATATATATAAAAAAAAATAGAAATTGAAATATAACTTGTTATTATATGAATCGATTAAGGTAAGAAAACATAAATGGTTTTAATTATTTTTCTAAAACGATTTATTAGTAATGCACAATTTTACTAAAATACAATTAGAGTAAAAAATACAAACTTTAGATAAAGATAAACATGAAAGAAGCAAAAAACTAATTAAGTTTTTTTTTTTAAGTTTTAAGAAAATTTTTTTTTCTTAAAGAGATTTCTTACTTGTTTTTTTTTTTAAATGTTTTTTGTTTTGGTGTCGAGTTATTTTAATTTGACACCAAAGATCTTTTAGCTTAGAACTTATTATTTAAATTTTTTTTATTGTGAGTTAAAAGTTTCGCTTCATTCATAGTAAAAGATTTTTAAGTTTAGTAAAAAAAAAGTTGTAAAGACCGAGGGGAGGGGCTTGAAAAAACTTTAAGATTTTTTGGGTTTTAAATAAACGAGTGGAGATTGAAAAAAACATATTTAAAATTTTAATTTTTTTTATTTTGGGACTATATTTGGACCCAAAGAGGTCAAAAGCGCTGCGCATTGTAAAACAATGAATAACTAATTGTTTGGTTTTTTAGTGCTTTATAAGAATCTAATTTGTGTCTGGAATTAAAATTCAATAAATGTGTTAATTAAAAAATTAAAAAAATTTAGACAAAAAATATTTACCCTAAAAAAATTAAATAAGCTCTGATACTCCAAATAGCACAATATCAGTTCTAGACACCCTTTATATAATGATAAACACTTCCTGAAAATTTCAACTAATTTGGATAAGCATTTTATGAGTTACAAACCGCACCGGTTGAAAAATGTCGATATTCAAAAAAAGCATATAAAGACTTTTATAATTAAATCTAAATAAAAAATTATCAATGTATCTAACTAAATTTACCATAAGAATTTTTTTTTAATAGTTTTGTCTTGTATCAGGGTTAGGATTTTATATTTTCATCTCAATCACCAAGATATTTAGTATATTGCAAGCCTTTGAACTGTTCTGACATACAAAACGTATTGACTAGACCACTAGATTCCATTGAACCAGATGATCATTCGTGATTTATGTCAAAAATGTGATTCTCAATAAAAGTATAGTATTTGTTGGAGTCTTTTTTATTCTCCCAAGTAGTATACATGGTACAATACTTAGTAAGCATTGTACCATGTAAGCAGGTAAATGTATTGATTATCCTGTTAAAAGTAAGCATTGCTTACTTTTAACAGGATAATCAATACATTTACCTGCTTCAAAAGAAGTTAACGATTCAAATCCATTTAATGACAAAAACTTTCTCTTTTTCTATGACGCATTACCTGATGCAGCTACATATGATGATCCAGTCATTTCCTTCAGTTCAACTGCTGCTTTAATCAATGCCACTACAGCAGCAGATACATAAACTTAAGTAATTTCATCCTGTGTGTGATGAAATATTACTAGGATTATTAGTGGAACCATGTTCATGAATCAAAAATCTCTGTTAACTGCAGACAGACCTTTGCTTATTTTGCGAAACGCCATTATAGCTCTTGAGTTAATATCAAAAGCACTAGCTCCTGGGGTACTGAGTTTGTGCAAAGTTTTACTAGTGTAGATTGAGTAACTCCATTCACAAACTCTTCAAGAGAAAGTTAGGAGGTTTGAAAGTTCTTTCTTCTTTTTTACACTATTATTATATATCTTTGTTGCTACAGATTGGACAGAAGCAAATAAGAAAAAAATATCTGAAATAATGTCTGAATTAATTAAAAGATAATGCCACGGAGAAACAACATGCTCCAAATAAAGGTTATCTGACAATTTTTGAAGACGACGTTTTTTCACTGAACAACTTTACTCGTTTTTGTAGTGTTATTTGGTAAAGTTGGAGTTGTGCTCAGTTTTTGTCAAACCCTTTATACTTCCTTCTTATAAATGACTTGTTTGGTCCCATTATTTTTTTTTTGCAATGCTCGAGCCTTTATATTGTTTATTTGAGATACAACCCTGTGTTAAAGCCGACGTCGATAGAATTTTGTATTTTAAAAGACAAAATTCTATCGTCTATTTTCACAAAACTAATATAACTTTAAGAAACTATTGAATAGCAAACTTTAAAAAAATAATTTATTATCATTACAAAGCATTGTGGGAGCAAATCTCTTAACAAACATTAGGCCTACATTGTGGGAGCAAATCTCTTAACAAACATTAGGCCTACATACGATGTTAGTTGTATAAAGCTCAAGTAAGGAAAGGGAATAATGTTAAAACTGCCATATAACTACAATAATGAAACTTTCAAAACATTGAATTTTTACCTATATTTAAAATTTTGAAAAAATATATATATTAGTAAAAAAAAATTTTTCTTCAAATTTTAGGACTTTTAATATCATAAGACCAATTTAGAATCCTTTCTTACTAATTGTAGTATTAAAGTTGTCCTCAATGTACCACACTCATTTTCATGTAACTTCAGTGGTTCCTCAAGGTTCTATTCTTGGTACTATTCTTTTTTTAATCTACTTAAAGATCTTCCAGAAACTCTCACATCTAAGGTGGCATTGTTCGAAGATAATATTATCATTAATTTTTGTCTTAATAAGAAGCCAACATTCTCTGATTACTTGGAGGGGGAATTTGGGCTTGAAAAAGACTTCGGCTACAGCATGAGACTTTTAGTGGTTGGTGAACTTTAATTCGATACTTTAACTTTAACTTGGATAAAACTTAATTTTTTTCAGCAAATTGTTAAAGCAATAACCTAGATCTTCCTATACTTATGAACGGTAATGTACTCGATGAGTCATCTACCAATCATCTTCTAGGATTACCTCTTACTTTCAATCTTTTTCGAAACCATCAAATCGATTGCAAAATTATCTGCTAAGGTTGCATCTCTTTATCGTGATCGTCACTTTCTTACTTAGGATTTTATTCTTTATCTTTATCTCTATGATTCTCAAATGGTTCCTTGTATGGAATACTGTAGCTATATCTGGGGCGGATCTTTCAATGATGCCCATTCTTTTTTAAACAAGTGCAAAAACGCATTGTGAACATAGTTGGATCTGCTCTTTCAGCCAACCTTAAACCATTATCACATCATGTTGTTTATCTTTCTCTTTTTCTATAAATACTTTAATGGGCACTGCTCTAAAGATCTAGTGTCTCTTGCGTCATCTCATTCATTTTTGTGTTACTCGTCATTCAATTAAATACTTTTACTCTGACTGTTCCTCCAAAAATTTTTATTTGTCTAGTTTTTTTTCTCAAACATCAGTTCTTTGAAATTTGCTTCCTTCATATTGCTTTTCTGATTCATATAATTTGCAATCTTTTAAGCCGTCTGCCAATCGTCATCTTGCCCTATAAACTTCATCTTTTTTTTCCAGTTACTTTTAACTCTTATAGTGGTTGCTTGCAGCCTTGTTGGAAGTAAAGAAGTTGAT